ATGCCGGGGGCCGAGGAGGTCTCGCGGCGCGCCGCCAGGGGTTGGCGCGAGGGGGGGGGGGGGGCCGCCTTCTCAGAAGAGGGGAAGGCGCCGATGCCGCTGCTCGACTGGAGCGCTCTCGTCGCCACGGCTGGGTTCTGCTCGCAGGTCCAGTCGGAGTGCACCCCGGGGGAGGTCTGGAGGTCTGGGGAGTAGCAGCACTGGCACCCGGTTGCCTCCCCCTCCTCAGACCGGGGGGAGGGGGGGTTCTCAGAGGGCGGGCTGCTGCTGGGTTGGACCAGGAGGCTTCCATGGGAAGGCACCCCAGCGGCCGGGATGGCCTCTGCAGTCGAGGCGCCGACTTCAGGACCACTCTGGGCTCAGGGGGGGCTCCTGGTCTTCGGGCCGTGCCTTTTGGGTCCAGGTCGGGGAGCACGTTCGTGGACGAGGCCCTCCGTGGCCAGGAAAGCCCCATCGTTTCTTAGTTTGCGTTCCTCCTGGCAGTGCCATGACTGTGCGAGGTCCCCCCCCCAGGCTTGCCTTGTCCTTCTCCTCCTCCTCCTCCTCATTATTAGTATTATAAGTGTGATGATGATGCTGCTGCTGCTGCTACTGCTGCTGCTGCTGCTGCTGCTGCTGATGATGATGATGATGATGATGATGATGATGATGATGATGATGATGATGATGATGATGATCATGATGATCATGATGGTGCTGATGATGATGATGATGCTGCTGATTTCCAGTATGAGTTTGATTATGATTATGACCATGGTTCCTGTGGTGATTAAGATGATATGTATTCGTATTTTCAGTTCTTATGAATCATAATACTATGTTTGGGAGCATGATGATGATTTTTTCCTACCTAGGCTCTGCCTAGAAGGGTTCTTACTCTCTTAGCTTAAAGGGGCCGGGCAGTGGAACACGCCCCGGGCGGTTCCCCCAGTCCCCTGGGAGCGGTTCCCCCCAGTCCAATGGGAGCTTTAGCTTTAGCTTTAGCTTTAGCTTTAGCTTAGCTTTAGCTTAGCTTTAGCTTAGCTGTAGCTTAGCTTTAGCTTAGCGTTTCGCTTAGCTTTTCGCTTTGCGTTTAGCTTAGCTTTAGCTTAGCTTTAGCTTAGCTGTAGCTTAGCTTTAGCTTAGCTTTAGCTTAGCTTTAGCTTAGCTTTAGCTTAGCTTTAGCTTAGCTTTAGCTTAGCTGTAGCTTAGCTTTAGCTTAGCTTTAGCTCAGCTTTAGCTCAGCTTTAGCTTAGCTTTAGCTTAGCTTTAGCTTAGCTTTAGCTTAGCTTTAGCTTAGCTTTAGCTTAGCTGTGGCTTAGCATTAGCTTAGCTTCAGCTTAGCTTTAGCTTAGCTTTAGCTTAGCGTTACTGTTACTTCTAATGCTGCTTTCCCAGGGGTTCCAACTCCTGGGTAGGGTCGCACTGGGATAATTATTCCCTACCTAGGCTCTGCGTAGAATGGTTCTTACCCTGAGTGCTTAAAGGACCGGGCAGTGGGCTTCGCCCCGGGCGGTTCCCCCAGGATCCGCCCCGCGGTTCCCCCAGTCCCCTGGGAGCTTTAGCTTTAGTTTTAACGTTAGCTTAGCTTTAGCTTAGCTTTAGCTTAGCTTTAGCTTTAGCTTTAGCTTAGCTTTAGATTAGCTTTAGCTTTAGCTTAGCTTTAGCTTTAGCTTAGCTTTAGCTTTAGCTTCAGCTTAGCTTTAGCTTAACTTTAGCTTAGCTTTAGCTTAGCTTTAGCTTAGCTTTGGCTTAGCTTTAGCTTAGCGTTAACTTAGCTTGAGCTTAGCTTGAGCGTAGCTTCAGCTTAGCTTTAGCTTAGCTTCAGCTTAGCTTTAGCTTAGCTTTAGCTTAGCTTTAGCTTAGCTTGAGCTTAGCTTTAGCTTAGCTTTGGCTTAGCTGTAGCTTAGTTTGAGCTTAACTTTAGCTTAGCTTTGGCTTAGCTTCAGCTTAGCTTTGGCTTAGCTGTAGCTTAGCTTTAGCTTAGCCTTGTCTTAGCTTTAGCTTAGCTTAAGCTTATAATCAGCTTATCTTCAGCTTAGCTCAGCTTTAGCCTAGCTTTAGCGTAGCTTTAGCTTAGCTTTAGCTTAGCTGTAGCTTAGCTTTAGCTTAGCTGTAGCCTAGCTTTAGCTTAGCGTTAGCTTCGCTTTAGCGTAGCTTCAGCTTAGCTTTAGCTTAGCTGTAGCTTAGCCTTAGCCTAGCTTTAGCTTAGCTTTGGTTTGCTTTAGCTTAGCTTTAGCTTCGCTTTAGCTTAATTTGAGCTTAGCTTTAGCTTAGCTTTAGCTTAGCTTCAGTGTTACTACTAATGCTGCTTTCCTAGGGGCTCCAACTCCTAGGTAGGGTCGCACTGCGATAATTCTTACTACTATTGTTACTCGTATACCAGTATGGTTAATCTATCATTTGGATTGTTGCCATTATTTGTGTTATTGTTAGTAGTATGATTGATATTGTTGTTGTTGCTGTTGTTGCTGTTGTTGTTGCTGTTGTTGTCGGTAGTGGTGTTGGTTGGTTGGTTGGTTGGTTGGTTGGTTGGTTGTTTGTTCGTTGTTGTTGTTGTTGTTGGTGTTGTTGTTGTTGTTGTTGTTGTTGTTGTTGTTGTGGTTGTTGTTGTTGTTGTTGTTGTTGTTGTTGTTGTTGTTGTTGTTGTTGTTGTTGTTGTGGTTGTGGTTGTGGTTGTGGTTGTTATTATTTTTATCACCATTCTTATTATCATCATCATCATCCTTCTCCTCCTCCTCTGCCCCTTCCCCCTCCTCCTCCTCCTCCTCCTCCTCCTCCTCCTCGTCCTCCTCCTCCTCGTCCTCCTCCTCCTCCTCCTCCTCCTGCGCCTTCTCCTCCTTTCGAAGGCAGCCCCCCTCCCGCGCCATCCTCTGGCGCGCGCCCGCGAGGGCGGGCAGGTGGGCACGGCGGCGGGGGCCAGCGCGGAGCCGTGGGGGAAGGCCGCTCTGGATGCCGTCGTGTCCGGGACCTCTCAGAGGAGGAGGAGGGGGGAGGAGGATGATGATGAGGAGGAGGAGGAGCAGGAGGAGCAGGAGGAGGAGGAGGAAGGGGGCAGGGGGAGGAGGAGGAGGAGGACGACGACGAGGAGGCTCTCACGCTCTTGGCCGCGTCCGTTTCCCCTTTTTGAGCTTCGCGGGGGCCCATTGTCGCCACCGTTGGGCTCGCCTCGACATTCAGGTCAGAGCGCGCCCCGGGAGAGGCCCCTGGAATAGCGGTATCGGTACCTTTGGTCTCCCTAGGATCGGCGTGCTCCAGTGGGAGGAGGCGCTGCCCGCCTTCGGCTCGTGCGCGTTCGTGGGGCGGGAGGCTCGCGCGACGAGATCTGTACATGTTCGGCCACGCGCAGAGGAGGGGAGGGGGGAGGGGGGAAGGCTCCCTAGAAGCACCCCTGCTTCTTAGAGGGCGCGGGCCTTGGCTGTAGATGTAGGGTCAGCGCCTTCTAAGAGGCAGCCTCCTTCCTCCTTCCGAGAGGCCTTCCCCCCTCCCCCTACCCCCCTTGTGCGCGCCGACAACATATCCACCGCTCCCGGCCCGGCCCATCCTTAGCCTGTATGCCTCCCTGGCCAAGCCAGGGGGGCGCACGCCCGGCTCCTGGGCCACGCACGGGGCTGGCTGGGGGCGGGGGGCGCTGGACACCTGCGGGGCGCGTCGCCCCAGAAGAGGCGTCGCTGGTCGGCAAGGGCCTCGGCGCCGAGATCGACCTGCACGACACGGTGATCCGCAGCGACAGGCTCCCGAACGGGGCCCACCGCCGGGACTTTGGGGGCCGGACGGACGTCCTCCTCGCCGGCCCAGACGTGCTCCAGGGGTGCGCCGGTTACGGCCTCAGGTACCTGATGTCGAGGGTGCGTAGACGGGGGGCTGGCCCAGGGCGGTGTGGGGGGTAGCGAACCCAGCTCGAGAGGCTGATGTTTCCCCTCCTCCAGGGGCCGTCCAGGGCGACCTTCCTCTGACCCCCGCCGCGAGCTCGGGCCTGCCCCGCCTTCTGACGCCCCCCCGGTCATGGACGGGGCCTCCGACGCGCCCTTCAGCTGCGCGGCCAACGCCTCCTGCGGCTTCGGCGTCCTGGTCCTGCTCGCGGCCCCGGCGGGGCCCCCGGGCGCCCCCGGCGGCTGCCGCTGGCCTCGGCCGCAGGGCGTGCTGCGCCCCGCGGTGGCCCAGCTGGCCGCGGGCCTCCTGGGGCACGCCGCGCCGCCCTCCCCGCAGCTGCAGGCCCTCGCCGCCTTCGCGCCCGTCTGCCGCTCCCTGCGCGTCTACGGCCTCGGGGAGGGCTCCGCCGGCGAGGCCCCCGCGCACGACTTCGAGGCCGAGCGCCGCGCCGTGGACGGCCTGTGCGACCCCGCGGCGGGCGCCGCCCCGCGCGGCGCCGCGGGGCGGGGGCCCGGCGGCGAGGAGGAGCGCTGGCTGAGGGCGCGGCTGGCCGAGGCGGCGCGCCGGGGCGCCCTGGCCGTCGAGGAGGCGGGCGCGCCCTACCGGCGGGCGCGCCTGCGCGACGTGGTGTCCAACTACACCGGGGACGCCGCGGGAGGCAACGCTGCCCCTACACGCCGCTGACCTTCCCTCGGTGCCCCCGCCTCCTGGGAGGCCCTCGTCGCCACCGCTGGGTGCGCCACGGCGTTCCGGTCCGAGCGCACCCCGGGAGAGGTCCCCGGAGTAGCGGTATCGGAACCTTTTGGTGCCCCCCAGGACGACACCCTGCCACTGCCGATGAAGCGTTGCGCGCTGGTCGGGGGCTCGTCCATTCTGCACGACAGGGGCCTCGGCCCCGAGATCGACGCGCATGACACCGTGATCCGCGTGAACCGGCTGCCGACCCCAGCCTTCTTCGCGGACTGGGGCAGACGAACGGACATCTATTTCGCAGAGCCAGACTTCTTTAGGTATTCATGTGCTTGCCGCAAGCTCCGCCGCTTTGGCAGCGAAGCGCTCAGTGTGGCGGCCCTGTGCAAATTGCCCAGGCAGCCTAACATGGCCCAGCATGTTACGGGCCCCTTTTTTGGGTTGGGCGCCAGCGGGCCGTAAACAATGTGGCACTTCTTTTCGCCTGGCCAGAGGAGAGACAGTGACATGAATGACAATTCGCCTCCCAAGTTTCCGAGCCACTTCATGCCGCTTCTCTTCCCCAGGCCTCGGAGCGCCGTAGCATCAGACAGCTCGGCTCCCCAGCTCGGAGAAGGCCGTAACATCTGATGCCTGTCTTCCTCCGCGCCCAGATGGCTGCAACATGTGACTCCACACTTTCCCAGGCCTCTGAGAGTCCTACATCAGATGTTTCGTCTTGTTTCCCCTGTCCGGAGAAGGCCGCAGCTCGCGACAGTTGTCTTCTTCAGCGCACAGGCTACAACATGTGTGATTGACCTTACCAGAGGCACGCCCTGGTGACATCTGGGGAGCCTCTTGATGGCCTCTCGGGGACCTCTTGAGCTGGTCTTGTCTCCTGGCGGCCCTGGGCCCGAGCGAGTGGGGCCGCGTGGGGGATTCTCGGGTGCCTTTTGGTGCCCTCTGGTGGCGAGACAGGGTGACCCGCAGAAAAGCAGCTGAGATACGTGAGGTGCTCGCTGCTCTCAGCGAGACGTTCTCCGAGCGCCTCCTGGGCCTTTGGTGCCTCTGGGGTCTTCGTGACGACTGGTGAGATCCTCTTGGCCCATCTCGCGTGCACGTCGCTCTCAGATGCACGTGTGTTACACATAAAGCATCGTATGTGTTGGTTCAACTTGGCGGGTCTTCATCTTGTTGAGACGAGTTTCGGGTGTCTGTTGGGGCTGAGGGTTCCAGACGACGACAGACGGCGCCAGAAGGCCGTAGGAGATGGCATCTCCGAGCCCGAGGATTCATGTAGCTGTAACAGTTGTAATGTGTGACATCTCTCCGCCCAAGGCCACTGACGGCCGTGGCATGTGATGTGTGTTTTGCCCCCGTTCAGATGAGGCCCGTAAGCTGTTTCACTCGGGGGGGTAGTCTACGGGTGGGCGCTTCTTTGGTGGGGTGTCCTGAGAAAGCCGCAGGGACCCGACAGCCCAGGCATCACAGCCAAACTGTTCCCCATGCGCCCCCCCCCCCGGTGCATCTGGGCGCAGGGTGCGTGCTGCGCGCCACTGGAGTCGAGGTCCAAGGCCCGCGCGCGCCTCGCTCAATCGTGTGGCCGCTGGGGAGTCCACTCCCAGTTGGCGTCGCCCCTGTCCCTGCACCAGAAAGTACAAACGAAGCAGATGGGGCTTCGCTCCGCGACTCGAGGTTTCCTGTGGCAAGACTCGACCACATCGCCGCCCTGGCTTGCCATGGGTTGCACGGCGGCGGGCTGCTCCGGCTACTACCTGAAGTTCATGGACGGCATGGTGTCGCACTGCACGTTCGGCACGGGGTCTTGCGGCTTCCGCGTGCTGGTGTTCAAGGGCGCCGACGGCGCCGTGCACCAGAAGAGCTGGGAGCAGCGGTTCCCGACGCAGGAGATCTGGGCGACGAGATTCGTACTTGCATGTCCACTCCCCCTGGCCATTCCCACCCTGGCCCAGGAGCGGTGTGTGTGTGTATATATATATATATGTGTGTGTTCCCCCCCCGGCGGCCGCCCTGTCTGTCCTTCCCCCTCTCCTGCACGCTGGCCCATTCGCTTTTCGGTGCCACCGTTCAGCTCCAGCGCTCGTGCAGCCAACTCTGCCTCGCCGCCGACGGAAAAGTGTGTGTGTGTCTCCCCGGCCAGCCCAGGAGGGCGTTTACACCGCTCCTGGACCCAGGGTGTGCCCCGCCATGGGCGGTGGACATGTACAGTCACGGGGCGCGTTCCACTCCTCGCAAAGTGCCTACTCGCAAACGCCCGAAAAACACGTTTTAGCCTCAATGTGATTTAGCGTAGATCCCCCGCGGCGGATGTAGCTACTTTGCGAGTGGTGGAACGCGCCCGTCTAGACAGACCCCGCCGCCCTACAGGAGAGGGACTGTCGGCTCAAGTGCCTCAGCTTCCCCTGCGGCTTCCAGGCCGACCGCGTGAACCGCGTCGCCCACCGCCTCCCCGCGCTGCAGGGCCGCCTCCCGACGAACGGCCTCCACGCGTTCCTCACCTTCGCGCCGCTCTGCGAGTCGCTGCGGCTCTACGGCTTCGGCGGCACCCGGAACTCCGCAGACCTGGGCCACGAGATGGGGGCGACGCACAATTTCGTCGGGGAGCACCAGATCCTGGACAGGCTCGCCGCCGGAGACTCGCTCGACAACGAGTTCGAGGCCGCGGGCGTCGAGCACCGGTCGGGGGCGGAGTGGGTGAGGAAGCAGCTGCGCGCCCTCCAGGCGCGGGAGTTCACGATCGTGGGCGAGGCCGCCCCCGCCCGCGCCGTGTCGGAAGCCGACGCGCTCGCCGCGAGCAGCTGGGTCCTGAGGAGGTATCTCTGCAGCTGGCGGACGACGTGCAACATCTTCGGTGACTTCACAGGGTGTGGTGGCGTCGGGGTGTGGCTTGCGGTCGGCACCGTTGGGGCCTGGGGAGCACGGCGCTGTCCTCGCCGGGCCTCCTCGGGGCGCGACAAAAAGCTCTGTCGAGGTCCTCGCCCGTCTCCCGGGGTGCACCCCCTGGGTGCCGGTTGCTATCCACACCTTTTGCAAACCACAGCCTTCGGAGTCGCCGGCATCTGCTTCCACACGCCGAGCAGCCTGCGCTACCTCATCATGGTCATATCGCAGCCGTGGCGGCTGTGGGGGACGGTCTGCTGGTGGCAGCTGAGGCGGGTGTCGGAGGCGACAGCTCCGGGGGCGTTGCCGCCAGTGGCGGAACAAGGCCATCATCATCATCATCATCATCATCATCATCATCATCATCATCATCATCATCATCATCATCATCATCATCATCATCATCATCATCATCATCATCATCATCATCATCATCATCATCATCATCATCGGCCTCGTCTTCTCCCAGTGTCCCTTGGGGCCTCTGGTGGCCTCATGGAGACTCCTGGGTCCGACCGTCGTCGTCGTCGTCGTCGTCGTCGTCCTCTCCCTCGCCCTCGTCCTCCGTCTCCACGTCTTCCTCCCAGGGCCCCAGGGGCTTCCCGGGAGCGCCTGGACCCTGCTTCCAGTCGTCGTCGACGCCGCGGCCGTCGTTCTCGTCATCTTTGTCGTTGTTGTTTCTTCCTCCTCTACCATCAACCCGCTCCGCTCCCTCCCTCCTCCTCCCAGGGTGGACCTGGCTCACGCCTTCACCATGAGGTCCTGCTCCACTGCTCATGGAGCTTTGGTGCGCTCTTCCATCATGATAGTCCAGCAGAGTCTTCCTCATTTTACTCTCTTCTCCTCCTTCTCCTCCTCCTCCTCCTCCTCCTCCTCCTCCTCCATCTCCTCCATCTCCTCTCCTCTGCGTCCTCTTCTTCCTGCTCTCCTGAGCACCCCTGGGGCCTTTCGGGTCCTCCTCTCCGTCGCCGTGCCGCTCCAAGAGTGGCAGCACAGTGCAGAACAGTACAGCACGGTCGTCGCCGTCGTCGTTCTCCTCCTCATCATCCCCTCTGTATTCTGGGTTTCTCAGTAAGCGTGGGCGGGTGCCCCTTTCGACGGGGGTCAACCTCGCCTCGTCGTCGCGCCGCGACGGGGGTCGGAGCGCCTTTGGCGCGCGGTGGCTGCCCGCGATGGGGGTCGATGTGGGGCTGCCGGCGGGGGTGACGTCCCCCCAACGCTTCTTGAGAAACTCGGAGCCCCCTCGTGGTCTCCCCCCTCTCCACCTCCATTCCCCCTCCACTCTTCTCCCGTGTTGGGTGCGCCGCCCTCCTCGTCGCCACCGTCGCGCCCGCCCGTCACCGCATGCATCACACCATCTCGTGCCAGCCAGGCTGGCATCGCCCACTCGCCAGATCCTGGGGCAACAAAGGCCATGTGGTGCACATGAGTTGATCGAATCAGTGCGTCGGGCCGGGCGAAAGGGGGGGATTGGGAAAGGGGGGGTTACGAAATCTGCTGCATGCAGCTGGTTTCGGCCCCGCCGCCGGGCCCATTCCTCGATACATGGGCGCCTCCGGCGCCGGAAGGCGCCCGGAAAATCAGCTACGAGAGCTGATTCTCAAACCCTCTCTTTGCTATCCCCCCCTTTCGCCCGGCCCGAGTCTCGTAACAGTTCGGAGGCTGATAGACCTCCTACCCTGACACGTCGATTAGCGAATTGGCCGTTTTCGGTTCGCGAGAGGGCGTCGCTGCCGTCATTTTTGCTTGTTCAGGTCCGTCGGTTTCGGTCCTAGGCCGTTTTCATTAGAAGCGTGGCTTGCGAAAGGGCGGTGTGTCCACCGCCGGACAATACGCATCGAAGAAGACGCAGGCCGCATGTCAAGCTCAATCGAGAACTGCGGGTGTCCTGACCATTTCAAGTCGGAGCTGTTCAAACAGTTTTTGTCTCAAACAAAGCTGCCGGAGCTCTGCGAGCGCACTTGAGAACCATAGGTTTTCAGCCATCCCGTCAAAGAGTGCAATGCGTGCCACGCGCGGGCGTCTCCGCGAGCGCACGCCCCAACTCCCTTCAACACCATGTTTTTGGATGCATGTCAACACAGGTGTGTTCGAACCCATAGGGGACCCCAAGGACTTCCTCAATCGCAACTGTGCCATGCATTCAGGATTTCGGAGCGCGCGCACTTCCTCGTCGTCGTCATATCGCCAGCGTCATCATCGCCATCGTCATCACCGTCAGCATCGGCATCATCGTCATCATCGTAATCGTCATCATCAGCAGCATCATCATCATCATCCTCATCCTCATTCTCGTCCTCGTCCTCGTCCTCATCCGCATTATTCCCATCATCAATGTCGTCGTCATCATCGTCATCGTCATTATCATCATCGTCATCATCATCACCATCATCATCATCATCATCATCATCGTCGTCGTCATCACCGCCGTTACCGTCGTCATCGTCGATATCGCCTTCGTCAGTATCATCACTGCTGTCGTCTTCGCCGTCGTCAGCAGCATCACTCGCCCGCCTGTTCCATGGATGTTCATGAGCTGGTGCCAGATTCGCGAGCAATCTTCGATGAGTAACCGCACTCGCGGCCTGGTTGATCTTTACCAGCGAGTTGCGGGCTGGTGGGCGGGGTGCTTGCACGAGCATGCGAGGTGGTCACGTGCGGATGCCCACAGTGAGTTGCGCCACGTAAAAAGATGACACATCTATGTTGCAGTCGCATTTCTGAAGAATATGCGACACTGTGCCCATGCCGATGCCAGACTTGACGCCTCACCTCCACGTGCCCCACGTGTCTTGCGGGATTCATTTTTTGTGGTAATGATCTAATGTGAGCCGTTACTGTCACCCCTCTCCTACCCATCATTGTGCGGATCAGTCGCTTTGATCCTGCAGGTGAGTGTTCAGTGAACCCGTATCACACAGTACATACCGTGCGGGCCGCACGCGCGTGCCTGTCGAAGCCCTCCGTCCCAGAATCTTCGCGCGCCTGCAGTCTTTGTCAACTAAAAACGGCGCGTTGCATCCATGCGTCCGCACGGTTGCAGCACCACTCGTGTCTTCAGAATGTCAGGATAGAAGTGTCCACACACATGGGACAACACGTAGCATCTCAATAGGAATCGGTGCTTTTGTCTGTGCGTGCACGCTTCCTCGTCACCCTCATCAGCACCCTTCCCACCACTGTCGCCAGCGTCATCACTGCCACCATCATCATCGTCATCATCATTACCATCATCATCATCATCACCATAATCTTCATAACCTTCAGCATCGTCGTCGTAACAACAACCGTTGTCATCATCATCAGCATCGTCGTCATCATCGTCACGCCACCATCACCATCATCACCACCATCATCATCTTCATTCGCATCAGCATCATCATCTTCATTATTACCATCATTGACATCGTTCTTATCGTCACTCTCGCCATCACCAACATCGTCGCCGTCGCCGATGTCGGTTGAGTTCTGCTAAGAAGTTGTGAGTGGGTGGGCGGGTGGGATCGCTGCTCGACCTATAGAGTTGGCGGCTCCAAGTTCTTCAACAACTGATCGCACCACTGCACCATACATGCTTGACCACGTGGACTGCAACATGTAAATTGCACACCATGCTGCTGTGGTCCGTGCTGGTAAGTTCGGATGCAACTCCTGGGAGGTTCTGTTATTTTGCCCTGGTCAGAAATCCGGCTTCATCCGCTCTAATCCCGTTTAACCCGGCTAATTCCCTTTGAATCCCGTGCAGTTCCGTTTAATCCGCGGCCTAATCCGGCGCAGCAGCCCCCCGATGAGGCTCAAT